CCCCGCTTGAGCCGCTTCATGCAGCTGCATCTAACCGTCACATCGCCATAACGTTCACTTTAATGGGATTTACTGCAGTTTTCATTTTCTCTTAAGCTGCGGCTTCTGCGCTGCCGGAGCACAAACTTTTAAATCTAATAAATCTGAAACGAATGTTGCAAGCGATGTTTCGACCTGCAGGAGCGTCCTCATTTGTATGCAGAGTGTGAAATCACGCTGATGTTTATCACACTGTTTCAGTCTGGTGACGATTTAAAAGGGGGAATGAAAAAAAGAAAAGAGAAAAGTGAGAATTTAGAGTCTTTTTTTTTGTTTGGATTTCTGGTGAGGGGTTCATGCTGCTGTGATGGATTTTTTTTTTTTTTGGGGGGGGGGAATTTTTTCTCGGCGAGTTGTGGGAGGACTTCTGCTTCGGTGCTTGTGTGTGTTCTTGTGTCGAGTGTGCGCGCTCCAGTGCAAGCGCTGATGTGAGAGTGTGTGGGTGTGTAGAGAAAATGGCAAGTGTGTGTGAGTGTGCACCTGCAGATGGGAGTGTATCTGCATTTCAGAATGTGTGTATGATTGTGAAAGCATACTTCAGGCTGCACGGACACATCTACTCACTTACTTGTGCAGCTCTGCCTGTGTGTGTGTGTGTGTGTGTGTGTGTGTGTGTGTGTGTGTGTGTGTGTGTGTGTGTGTGTGTGTGTGTGTGTGTGTGTGTGTGTGTGTGTGTGTGTGTGTGTTTGCTGAAAGGTTTAGTTAAAACCCCTCTCGGCTGAACTTTTTCAAAGGCCCCCGGGATGAATCGGAGGTGAGGGACAGATCTTTGTTTCCTACAGCAGTCGTCCTGAAGGAAAACAATAACCGGCCGCCGCTCTCCCTCTGACCTTTTTTCACCCGCTCTGAATAAGCCGGAGCCGTGCAAATCCATCTGCCTTTTGTCTATGGGAGCCTGGCTAATCCACACCCCCCCCCCCCACCCCACCCCCCTTCACACACACACACACACACACACACACACACACACACACACACACACACACACTCAAACCTAACCCCTCCACTTCTTAAGCTCCCTCCAAACTCCTGATACCAAAATCATTTCTTTTAGGAGCCTTACCACTTTTTAAAAACCTGATTTCTTGTCATATTTCTATCACTTAATTGGTTTTAATACCAATTGTTTTTTAGTGTTAAGAGCTGAGATAAGAGATTATTTAAAGGAGATATATTTAAGAGCTTCCCACACATTACAGCGGGGGAAGATTTTCATGCAAAACTAAATAAAAAAAATAAAAACGGGGAAATTCACCTTTCAAAAAATGATCAGGAATAACGCGATTCTTTTCCCTCCCTTTACGGGGTTTTTCTTTTTTTTTTTTCTGTTCAGACGCCTCTCTCTCTCTCTCTCTCTCTCTCTCTCTCTCTCTCTCTCCGTCTGTCTGCAGGGAGTGTGTCTGATATGTGCAGGAAAAAAAAAGGGCTGAACCCAGCGGCGTGCACAACCATCCAGCACCTCTTTGACAGGCGCTATGTTAATGCTACTCAAAAAAAAAAAAAAGACTCAGAAAAGGAGGAGCAGCAGCACTCTGTGTGTCACATCACATTTTGCAAATGTGTGAAATGAAAAAAAAAAAAATCTGCAAGTACAAAAGCTTTGGCAACGGGGCAGATGGACAATGGGAGGTTTGAGGCTTGAACCGAGCTCCCCCTTTTTTTTTTTTTTTTTGCTCGTGCCTTTTGGGAGGCGACGTTTTTTTTTCAGCTCTCACATTCAGAAAGCCCCTCTGATCAAAATGTTTGATTCGACTCCAGGAACAAGAGGATTCTCTCTGCAGCGCGTTTAAAACCATGTAATCTGAGCCAGACTGAAGATCAACACTCGAGTCGTACTGATTTCTTTCGCTGAACAAATTCCCTCTTTCATTTCTTTTTTTTCTCTTCTCAGCTACACCTGAGCGGTCGCAGCTCCACACATCGACATATCATTTGATATAAAAAAAAAAAGCCCCACAGGAGGCGGAGTCATGAAAAAGGCCTCTGAGCTGCAGAGCCCGTGCAGATAAGCTCGTATTAATCGTAAAACAGGGGCGTATAGGTGACGCACTCACCGCGAGAACAAGCGGCGCGATATGCAGATAGTCAACACTCTGCTCGATGTTTCTGAAGTGTTTTCGTTTTCACGCCGTGTCGCTGGAAAAGGTTACACAGTTACCTCTTCTGCACGCTGATAATAACTGCATCGTTCCGCCCTCCGATCCCGAGCAAACATTTGATTTTCAATCATTGCAAAAATTTCTGCTACATCTGCCTCTGCAGCGCGGGGAAAGGACGGCGGCTCGTTTTTCACCAGCCGAGAACTAACAAGTCACATACACACAACCCCCCCCCCCCATCCCCCACCCCCCCTCCCCCTCCCCCACTCCCTGAGTCGAGTCACACACACACTCCTCCGCCATCCTTTACTGTTACTTACAAACTGCTACCAAACTTGATTAAGCAGGTGGGGTCAGGCTACATTTGTTTGAATCAATAGACAGGAATGCTAGGCAGCCATGATAAAGAGACCAAGGGGGGGGGGAAAGGGGGGCTTTGACAAACGCCGGCATCTGTCCCGTGAAAAGATGACTGAGCTGTTACAGTTTAGAGCCTTGAATCATGGGGCCATTACGAGAGCCGAGCTCCATGAAACTTAATCAGACAAAACAACGAGACGACTCGGGGAGGGAAAAATGACAAATGAAGTTATTTGATCCGTAGTCGAAGGTATAAAAAAAAAACACATTTTGCCAGAGATGATTGCAGTGGAAGCATGTGGAATCAGCAGTAATGCATTATTAATGACCCCTTGCAAAACAACACACACACACACACACACACACACACACACACACACACACACACACACAGGGCTAACCGCTCGGCTACTTTTTTCTGTTTACGACGCCTCCTTAATGTTTTACATGAAGACCTCATTAATAACAAGATGCGTTAAATAAATAAATAAAAATACACAATCAATTATTTCTGAGTGTAAAATTAACATCTACAGCCGTCGTGTAAATCTAACACACACACAGAACTCGGGCATGATTACGCTGATTTATAAAAAGTCGTAACTTGTTGGATAAATGTTGAATCTGAATTTCATCGCGACACTCTTCCCCCTCAGCTTTGAGAGAACGGGCTTTACTTGAACTGTGTTCCCACTGTGTCCTCTCAAGGCCGTCACATTACTATGCAACCAGCTTTTACAGTACGGCTTAGAGCTCCCCCAAGCAAATTGGACGCCCCCACAAAGCGTCGGACAACTGTTGTCCCCCCCCCCCGCCATTGTGGGAGACTTTTCTTGCAGGCGCTCTTTATCAGGTGCTGAATGCAGAAGCAGCAATGAATGAAATCATAGGGGGGTGGGTGCGGGGGGGGGCATCATGGAGTGGTGATGGTGGGAGGGGGGGTTCACTCCCTGAAAACCTCACAAGAATTCCAGAACAATCCCGAGTGCAGGGTAGAGAGCGGGTCCTCCCCCCCCCCCCACCTCCACCTCCCAGGGATTCAGGGTCTCTGTGCGCTCTGTGACAGGCAGGCAGGAGGGATTGGACAGGGCTACCCCCGCCCCCCCCCCCCCCCCCTTTTCTCCGTGCCGCTTTCAAAAGCCTCCTTTTCCATTAACTCACCACGCCGCACCTCGCCTAATCTCTGTGACCCCTACCACCAAGGGATGGGGATTTTCTTCTTTTTTTACCCCCCCCTTCTCCCACCCCCCGAGACAAACCTGCTACCTCTCCAAAAGGTTTTCTCCACTCCTTTTCTAGCTTGTAATAAAACCAAAAAAACCACAGGACAATTCATGCTTTCATTTATTTTTTGTTGCTGCAAAGATCTGAATAATCAATCCAGTCCAAAAAAAAATAAAACAAATCGATTTCTTTTGATCATCGTGCTCAGGAGGAATTGAAAACACAATTTTTGCAGCTCTTCTGTTTTTGGGTTTTCTCGCCTCGCCTCTTTGTTGTCCCGATCATTACGCAGCGGTGTAATAACGGGGAATTATGTCGCCCTTTTGTTAACTCTTAGTAGTGAGATTTTAATGCAAGCAGCACATAATGAAGCGCTCGATAAGACTTCCTCCTCCTCGCTTTTTCTTTTTCTTTACACGCTCAAGTAGCGGCTCGAACGGAGACTTTTTTTTTCTTGTAATCATACAGTTTGTGTCCGTTGTTATCTCGAGCAGCAGACTGCGAGAAAAAGAAAGATCTTTCATCTCTCTAGTTGTTTGCTGAAGGATCTGGGTTTCTCACGCGCCAGATTAAAAGCGCCGGCGAGGTCGAGCGGCGGCAAAGCAGTGTAGCAAAAAAAAACAAAAAAAAACCTGCAGATCGTCTGCATCGTTTCGACAGTGGTGCAGAAAACTCCTCCGGTGTAATGCGAGCTGTTTGCAAGGCACACATCCAGAGCGCTTTGCTGAACAGGAGTTTTATGCATTCTACGCACTCCTGGTGCACAGATGGTGGAACAAACGCTTGTGATTATACTTTTCATCGAGCGCGGTGATATGCATATTTATGTCTCGCCAATAAAAAAAAAGAAGAAAAGACTCGTGTGCTGATTTAGAGTCTTTTCTTAGGTGGAAATCAGAGTAAGCATTTGGAGGTCTTTACTCAGGGTTCAGGTAGATTTCTGTCGAGATAGTTTTTTGAAACGTTAGAGGAGAGGGGGGTCGCTTTAATCCAGTGGTATCAAACCGTGTGTCTGCAGGATCGCTGCAATCAAACACTCCACCAGATGATTTTTGCAGATTGCCTCCTCTTCCTTGATTGATCAGCAACATCACCCGGTGTACCTGGAATTAAAGCCACTTTTTGCAGAATCCTCCAAAAGCTCCCCATCAGGAGTGAGGACGCTTTTAGAATCAAGCTCTTATCTCGCCTGTGAGAGTAACACTGCACAGGGAACAAACTCATCCCAGATCAAAAATAAATAAATAGTAATAAGTCTTCTTCTTTGTGGCCCAACAGGGAAGCCAGATCAACCAGATCCCCACCAAGTACAGCCAGGCCGAGTCCACCAAGTTCCTGGTCCTCACCGTGGTCTCCATCCTGTGCATCGCGGGAGTGCTGCTGGCGTCCACCGTGGTCTACTGCCTCCGCCATCGCTCCCACCACAAGATCAAGGAGAAGCTCACCAACCTGGGGACGGACGCCGGCGGCGATGCTACCGCCACCTATCAGGTAGGAGGTGTTACTGCGCCACATAAGTCTTACCAAAAAAAAAAAAAAAAAAATTCTCAGACATGGAGATTCAAGGCAAGATAAGAAACACACACACACACACACACACACACACACACACACACACACACACTGGTTTCCCTCCCAACACAGAACATCACCCTCTCATAAGCAGCTAGTTGAGCAAACAGTTGTCGCCAATCTCTTCATTCTTTCTCTAATGTATATATAATAAAGCTGTATTAGGGTCCCTAAAGTGAAGCCGTCTTAATCTTTCTTAGTCTTAGTCTTTAAAATGCGTTTTAAGTCGAGTCTAGCTTTAGTCCACGACAACTCAGAACACTGAAGCCTCGTTTTGGTCAACAGAAAGTCGTTATGTTTGTGTCATTACTTGGAGTCAACACAGTTTCTCTCTTTAAATGATTAAATGAGCCTACATGCAGGTATCAGAAATTAGTATGAAGACGACAGGTTGTTTTTCTAAACTCATAAACACATTAAAAACGGAAACACCTCAAGCAATCAAATGTAAGCTAATGCAGCTTTTAAATGACTTGTAGCGTCGTTAGCCTAGCAGTTAGTGCGCGTCCCATGCTCCTCCAGGCCGATCCGACTTGTGGCTCTTTTCCACATGTCCTTCCCCACTCTCTCTCTCTCTCTCTCTCTCCCTCATTTCTGACTCTATCCACTGTCCTGTCTCTAAAGAGGGTCATCAAAAGCCCAAAAATAAACCTTAAAAAACATGATAATGCACCATCAATATTTTTGCTACTCATCCCACTCCGTCTGGCAGACATTTGATAACCGTCACTACTTATAACTCTACGTTGGGATGGATGTTAATGCGTCCACTAGAGGGCGCAGTCTGACACCAACCTCCACGTCTCCTCCGCTGCTGTCCAACTAACATTCAGTTCCCGTCAAATCTCCGCCCAGCTGTTCTCTTGTAGTTGTCAGTCCCTGTGACCGTCGTTGGATGGATGCAGTGCGGTGATTTCAGACGCGATAATTTGTTGTTGGAAGACCTGAAGCGATATCGCCGACCCAACAGGTCCCCCCCCCCCCCAACCCCCCCACTCCCTCCTCTGCTCGCTGTAATTATCCTTTGGCCGGGAATAGCCTCAGTGTGAAATTTAATTTACACAATCCAATATTAAGTGGCTTTTTGAGCAAAGAATTAGATTGAGATTTTTTTTTTTTTTTTTTTTTTTTTGTCTCCCCGTCTCTCTCTCTCTCTCACGCTGACCTTTTCCCCCGCCATGTTTTTAAATGAGAGTGGTCCTGTGAGCATTGATTTTATAATGAGCCCCGGCCCCATCCCCTAAGTGCTTACATTTTATGCCGCTCTCCGGGGAGTTTGAATACTCCTGAAATAGACTGAGCCGCTGCGTTTTCGAGGTTTACCTCATCAACCGGGGACTTGTGAGGAAGTCATGATGTTAAATTCCTGCTGCATGAAGATTTACCGCTCACCAAACTGAGCAAGACGATGAAAGATGGAGCATGAATAATGACTCGTATTATCCCGTATAAGTGCCTATAAAAGAGGATACTGTTTGTTAAAGTCTGACTTTCAGCTCGCCGTGTGACAGGCTGACATTTCCGCTGTCTACATAACATATTAGCTCTCCTCTGTGTGAGAAACTTATCGTCATGGATGCTTTCCTCCGAGCTTCTCTTCAAGCAGCTAATTAGAAGAAAAAAAACTGCATAATTCTGCATTATTTATCTGATTAATAGCTGACAAAAAAAAATCTTCATGTTTGTCATTCTTGGGAGGTTTCAGTCGCTCACACTCCCAGAGCTCCTCCAGTGGATTCTCTCTCTCTCTCTCTCTCTTCCTGCGTCGTCTTTATCGAGTCTCGACAGCGAGCCGTCGTCATCCTCAGTGTTCAGCTCCCATCTTAGCCGTGTAAGCCTCGTCTCTTTGTCAGCGTCTCTGTGTGTGTGTGTGTGTGTGTGAGAGGAGGGGTTCCCTCCCTAGGCTGTGTCTGCGTGTGTGTGTGTGTGTGTGTGTGTGTGTGTGTGTGTGTGTGTGTGTGTGTGTGTGTGTGTGTGTGTGTGTGTGTGTGTGTGTGTGTGTGTGTGTGTGTGTGTGTGTGTGTGTGTGTGTGCAGTCTCTAGGGCTACATGCAATTAAAGCAGACAGGAAGCGGCAGGCTGCCTGACGGCCTTACTACTGCAGCTCCTTCTCACTGGCTGTCAAACACACCCGAACATGCACACACACACACACACACACACACACACACACACACACACACACACACACACACACACACACACACACAAACATGCACACACTCAGCAGCATGTTAATGATTCTTGCCCTTGGCGGGTTTGTTTGAGGCCTTGCTTCACACATTTACACACACACACACCCTGTCTTGGATTCGCGTCACAGCCCCCCCCTCCACCTCCCTCCACCTCCCTCCACCTCCCTCCACCTCCCCGCTCCCCTGTCTTGTCAATCAAACGGTCCCGTAGAAACCGTGACATGGGATTGGCCGACGCTGACAAAGGAGACGTTGATTGACAGGCGTCGACAGAGGAGTGTGTGCTCCATGTCTGAGCGCTGGGAGGGGACGGGGGGACGGGGGGAGGGGGAGGGGAGGGGACGGGGAGGGGGACGGGGGATTGGCGGTAGATGAATCTTGTCAGGTAGTCCCTGGATCACTCCGCCCGCCGACACGGGAGTCTACATCTGTCGCCTTCAGTTTATCTTTACATCTGATTCAAACTTTTATCAGCTCCTCAAAGTCCGTTTTTTTTTTCTTTCTAAGAGGTTTTAAAAAAAAAAAAAAACTCTCCTCCCAGCACGATGAGATGATTACATGTGATTGGAGTAAAAAACTTTTTTTCACAGATTTCCCTCAAATCAAGAGATTTAATCTAAAAGCAGTATTATCTTATTTAAAGATACCATCACCGTGCAGCATGGACGTCTGGAAACATGAAAAAGGAAAGACATACTGGATATTTTTTTAAAGTTTGTAAGACATAAGAAATGGACTGTTAGGATGTTTTTTAGGATTCTTCTTTTTTTTTTTTTTTTGGCTCCCTCTGCCCGCTTCACACTCCGTCTGCTTCCTCTCTCTGTCTCAATTCAATTTCAACGACCTTCACAGACGCGATAACATCATCTTTACACCGCCGAAGAATAAGTGCAAAACACATTTCCAGAACATCTCGATTAAGATTAAACAAGCCAAACAATAACTCTGCTTCCCCGTCTGCCTGTCCTAAGCCTCTCCTCTCGCTCTCTCTCTCTCTCTCTCTCTCGCTCGCTCACTCTCTGTGTGTCGGTCCAGTTTTCTTATTTCCTGTCGTCCATCTCGTTCTGCTGCTCCGTTAGCTGACAAACAACGTTTCATTAAATATCAGAGCAGATTCCAGTCTGCGTCTTCTCACTCTTAACACGATGGAGAGAGTGTTATTGGATTGATTACATATCAGAAAGTTAATCAGTTTTATACTTTCTGGTCTTTGGGGGGGACCTTCCTCTAGAAGTGGATTTGATTTCTGTATCATTACATTTCATTACGGATAAATCGCAGGATTAGCGGCTGTAACAATTGGATTTGTCCTTGTGCAACAGCTGACACAATCGAAGAGGTTTTAATGCTGAGCAACATGGCAACAAATTAAATAATCATATTATAACAATGACTGAGATGTATCCCAGCGCCAACCAAGTTGTTTTAGGAACACAACAACAACTTAGAAGTGTTAGCATGTTTTAAAGGGGACATATTGTAAAAAAATCCACTTGAACAGTGTTTTTGAACATATATTTGAGTAACCTGAGAGTCTACTGACCCACTAAATGTGAAATAAACCCATCCAGTCCTTTGTTTGTGGTCTGCATAAGTCTTACAACTCAGAGAAAAATGCTCCGTTTCAAATGTGCTCTCCTTGTGATGTCACAAAAAAAAAAAAAACCCTCCCCTCCCCTGGTATCTCCACCCCCAGCCTAGAGCAAAACTTTTGAGCAGGTCCGCCATTTTTATTCTCTCTACAGAGGAGTGATGTCTACTGGGAAAACTCAGGGGGGGGGGGGTCGTTACATTTAAAGAGACACACACACCAAAACGGAGCGTTCTGAGAGAGCTGGTTTATACAGGGTCACAAACCTCCTCTGGTGCTTGATTCATGTTATATTTTGAACAAAGCACAGCACAGATGTTTCATTTAGACCACAGGGGAATGTTTGAAAAGGTGGAGAAGTATTATAATATGTCCTCTTTAAGACAGGAACTTGACATTGGATATTGTCAGTGCAGATAATAGCGGCTCAGGAAACCAGGAAGTGAGTACTCTAAAGACCTCCGTGCTGGTTTGTCCTTCACATTTCTGTTGTGTTTAAGGAATTCAAACTTCATCTTATTATTTCCTAGATGTAACCAAATACGTCCTACGATTATTCTCTAAATTTCAATAGTTAATTGCGATTAATCACTTTTTTTAAAGGCATGTTTGAAATTCCATTATTTCACATTTCAATATAAAAATGGTTAGGCTTTTATTTTGAAGTTTAGTGCTGTCTTAAGCTAAGAGTACGGTGCTTTTATTTTGAAATACAGTAAGGGCCTTCTGGTAGATGGTAGCTTAGGACATGAAGTTAAGCACAGAAACAGGAAGTGGTTAGGGATCCCAAACTGAGGTCAAACATCTGAAAGGAACGGTAACAAAGGTCAATGTGTGATGTCATAAGGTCAATGTTTGATGTCATAAGGTCAATGTGTGATGTCATAAGGTCAATGTGTGATGTCATAAGGTGGATATTACTGTCTGAGAGTTTGTTAAAGTGAAATGAGACATTCAAAGATGCAGCAGTGTCCTTCTTTTACATCACTGAGACTACAGGGAGACACTGAGGACCACTATCTACGGAGAGCCTGAAGGGACAAAACAACATGAGATAAACGCGATTAAAACAATGATGCATTCATTTCCATCTGCAGTCCAAAGATGTTTTTATTATCAGTATTGGGTGTCTT